CTGGGAAGGAGAAGTAGTTCTTGTGAATATATTATTATTATTATTATTATTATTATTATTATTATTATTATTTAGTTTTAAACATGTGGAGATATCAAAGAAGTAACTTTTTTAAAGAAACTCAAAAACAAAAAAACCCTTTAACTAAAGAACCAAACTTACAGCACAGCTATGCAGGTTGTGGGCCGATCAAATGGGTCCTCAGAATCATTCTGTTGCTTGTCCAATTGAACATCTTTCACTGGTTATTATTTTGGTTACTTAAGAACGGTTGCCTTTTTTTTTTATGTGGTGTGTCTTGTTTTGGTACAAGGAGGGTCGGAGGGAGGGAATTGATAACCACATAGTTCTAAAGTTCAGGTAACCCAGTTCTGCAATATTAGGAGCCTCGAGATCTACACTTTGTGGACTTCAAGGAGGGAGTGAAATTATTGCACCACCTCCCATTCTTCACATGAGGGGGAACAGCAGAGCCTAAATAGGAAGAGAAGTTGTGTTTTGAGTTCCTTTTTCATGTAAAAATGTTGGGATATCTTGCATGAACCTGAAGCAGAAGGTCCAGGCCCAGGAAGAATGGTCTGATAGTGAACAAAGGGGTTACTTTCCAAAAGTAGAAAGTACTTGAGTGAAATCTAGTTTTAGAAATGCATGTGTCTCTTTGGGTTGCTTTGCTTTTGTTTTTCCTCTTCCTTTTTTCCTTTTCCTTTTTTTTTTTCCCCCCTTTTTATCTTTTTTTTAAACTTGGAGGGAATGGGAGGGGGAGGGATGGGAGACAGGAAGCTGCTGAGAAGCTTTTATCCACACACAAGTTCTCCTCAAATGGATGGCGTAAAAGAGGTTAAGAGAAAACGAATACCATTGCATTTGTGGAGTAAGTGCTACTTGAAAAAGCATGATGTTTTGATTTTGCAGATTCATAGTTTGTGAGGGTGGGCTTTCATTTTGGTTGTGGTTTTCTTTTGTTTTTTGTTTTTTTAATTATTTGGAGGGGAGGGAGAGTCATGTGGCAAACACATTGGAAGGAGAAGTATAAATAAACATTTTGTGTCTGAATGTTTTCTTTTTAATTGGCCTCATATCAAATGTATTTAAACAGTTCCATACCTGGATTGGATGTTTGTAATGGTTACCAAAAATGAAAAAGAAAAAAAAAATGAAATGATTGTGACATGCTTTTATCACTACTTTATTTTTCAAATAACATGTAAATATTGTAATCCATTGGATTTTTGTTTTTTTTTGTTTTTTTGTTTTTTTTTGTTTTTTGTTTTTTTGCTAACCTGTTAATAAATATATGGGACCATTATCCTTTTTAACAAGTCTAGAATGTCATATTTTTTCTTGTGTTTTTTTCCCTCCCAAATGTATCCCTTGATATATTGTGGACACACATTTTAGATGCATTATTATGATTCTGTTGGCTGTAATGATGACCTAGGATTGAGAATAACATCCTTTTTTTATTTGTTTAATTTATACAGAGGACTTTTTTCAGAGTTTGAGAGAAGGAAATAAATAGCAAAATGATAACCCACTGGCTTCAGAACTCAGTATTTCCTAATTAAAATTAACTACTGCTCAGTGTTTGGTGGGTGAGGCGTGGACGTTCTGAAATGTTGCACTGATAACTTTTTTAAGGCAAAAGAAAACGAATAAAAAATTTTCAAACAGAAGTGTGCGTATGGTTCTCTCAAGTTAAGATATGCTTTGCCTTTCTTTTGTCTTGTTTCAGAACTGAAATATTGGGGGAGGTTCTTTAATTTGATGTCATTATTATAATCACTGGAAGGCAAGTACTTTTTAACAATTGTCAGTCTCAGCTATTTTTTTCCCGGTTAAGTTTGCTTGGGTTTCTTTTCACTTTTTAGAAGTGTACCTCTCTCTCTCTCTCTCTCTCTCTCTCTCTCTCTCTCTCTCTCTCTCTCTCTATCTTGTGAAAATTAAGTCCCTCATTTGGAGTTAATCTCATGGAATTCCAGATTTTATTCTGAAGAGACATCACCACAGCTCCCATTGAACTTAGCAGGTTTGTAAAACTTTTAATAAAAAAAAATTATATATAAAAAGAACTTAGCAGGTTTGAAACTCATTTAGCTAACATTTAATTAATTGATTTAATTATTTAATTATTGGTAATACCTACATAGTTCTTGCCAGCGGTCAGTTATCCAGGTTAGTGAAAACAAGTTTTCCTAATCAGAGAAACAACCTCACTATAAACCTAGCAAATACCCATAGATGTAGGTTCCAGCAGACGTCTCAAATGAAAATGGCATATTGTATCAACTTAGCTGTTCAAGATTCACCTCTAATTCCATCTAATATCACTCGTGGGGCAGGGAAGGATTGTCATGTGATCCTCTACTTTGATGGCTATGCTGTCTGGATATTCTGGGAATGTCCCCAAAATTCAGGAAAGTGTGAGGAAGGATGCTATAATTCAAATCTCCATACTATTCCCATACCACTTGGGTGCCATCTTGAAGGGCTTTCAGTGAAACCTCTTGCCTTATTTTTTCTTTCTTTTTACTTTACTGTTAATTATGAACCTGTAGAGTTAATAATCAGGGAAGGAAAAATCTACTGGGATGGAGAAGCAATGATAAGAATAGAAGAATAAGAGCAAGAGTAAATGCTTTATTCCAGTGCAATTAAGGACCATCAGGATAGGGAACCTCTCTAGACATTGTTGGACAACAACTCCCATTATCCCTAACTATTGGTCCTGCTAAGTGGGGCTGTAGGAGGTGTCCCAACCCAAAGAGAGAATTGAAGGAACACTGGACCATGCAGGTGTTCAAGGTTTAGTGCAAAAGTACAGGCAGAAGAAACTACCTAAAGAAGTATTTGGGCTTGGAGAGTTGCTTTTTAAGCATGAAAAAAGAGCATTGTATACAGGTAGTCCTTGGGTTATGATGGCAATTGGGACCAGAATTTCTGTCACTAAGCGATGTGGTTGTAAAGTGCAATGTCACATGACTGCATCGCTTAGTGACAGCATTCCCTGTTGCTGTCATTAAGCAAGAACCACATGGATTGTTAAGTGAAGCCCTCACATAACCATTGCAGTAGGAAGAGGCGCTGAAACCGCATCCCAGGCAAGTAGGTCAGCCAGTGAAAGCTGTCTTATTGTAACCATAAACTTGAGATGTATACTGAAAAATTGCCAAATAAATTGTGAAAGGTCATGCAATGAGCTTTATGGCTAGATAGAGGTTTGAATAAAAGTCTTCCAGCTTTAGCCTGAAAGTCTAGCCACGATAACACAGTGGCCTGAAAAATCTCACCCTTGCTATGACTTCTGCTAACTAGATAAGTGGTCATTTATCCTATGTCATCTGCAGTGGGAAGGTAATGTTAACGTAGCTTAGTTTTCTCTAATCTGTCATCCTCCATTAATCTTACTGAGTGTGATTGCAGAGGACTATACTGTAGTCTCAATGCTTCTGGAAAAATAGTAGCTTGGAAAAGGAGACTGGACAGATTGTTGATACACGATACAGGTAGTCCTTGTTTAGTGACCACAATTGGGACCGGCAACTCATTCATTAAGCAAATTGGTCACTAAGTGAAACTGCAACTGTGCTTATAATCTTTCTTCTGCTCTCCTTTGCTTTATAGACTTGGAAAGGCCATAAATGCGAGGATTGATCACAAGGTTACTTTTTCATCACCCTCGTAACTGCAAACGGTTACTAAACAAGGCAGTCGCTAAACCACGATTACCAGTATATGGAACCCACTGGAAATTCAAAAATGGTCCGTAAAGGATGGTTATGACAATAACTGGTTACTTGCAAATGACTACTATTAGCCACTTGGATGCCCAATTTGATGTGTATAGCCTAAATAGAAGAGAGAGGTTCACATGGCACTCAAAAAGCAAGAGTTGCTGTGTTGATCCAATTGTGGAATTCATACATCAATAATGTCTGATGTACGTTGAATTTGATGTATGTATATACTTCATACTTCAAATTCAAGGAGGAAGCTAATTATCTTTAGTATCAGTATCTATGAGTCAGAATTCTGTGTATAAGCATGTGATTTGTTCTCAGGAAAGAGAGAGAACTTGTCTACAGACAAGAAGATGGCCATGCAAAAAGGTAGATGGCCCATCTTTTCTCTTTGCTGCCCTCTACTGATCCTCTGGAGTTTTGCACCCCAGATCTGCTAGCTTTACTTTTACCAACTGAACTTTGCTAGTTAGCTGGTTTGTTAACTAGCCTTGTTATGTACAGCTACTTTAGTAACATCCACCATCTAGAAGCATGTATCTGTAGAGCCATTATAACTGAGAAGAAATTAATACAACTGACACTAAGAAATAAAAACTAAACCGGCAGTCTTCTCCAACCTCATAACCTCCAACAGGGTGGAATTAAATTCCCATTATACCCATTCCCATTATTTCCAGCAGGGAAAAATGCTGAAAAG